GTCCCTGCCCATGGCAGGGGGGGTGGAACTAGATGATGTTTGAGGTCCCTTCCAACCCAAGCCGTTCTGTGATTCTGTAATTGCTTTGCTTTTCTTTTTAGGGCACAGAATATTTTGTAGGCAAAGGATATTGTCATACTTTATTCTTGCAATTGCTGTTCTTCCTGCCATGTCTATAGAAAATATTTTCCATTTACTATTGTTACTGTGTGAAGCTGTTGTGTATATACAGCACTTTGTTTTCATAATTCCGTACTAATTTCTAGGAGGAGCCTTTATCTCCTCAGATGTGAGTTTTAGTTCCTCATAGTGTTTTTACATTGGTGAGAAGTTCTGTGCCTGCTTTGCCAATTTCTAACTGCCACATTAATACCATAAAAGACTTGTCTAGAGTTAGATAGTAAGTCATAAGTACATTTAAGGATGGCATGGGTCTTCTGGGTTCCCCATTACATCATCTTTCAGTTCTGTGTTCCTACCTTAGTTCCTAACCTTAGTTTTGCCAGGATGAGTGTGTAATACAGTGTAATGCATACTATAACTTTCTCAAATGCTTTTTTTTAAACTAACATAGAGTAAACATACAAACATAGAGTCCAGTGAATGAAGTGGTGTTGTTTTTTCGAATTTAGAAATTGTAGTTTTCTTTTTTCCATGCTTTTTTACATATCTTTTTTTAATTATTATTTTGCTACTCTTGCAGTTTGTTATGGGAAGAGACTTTATTAGATGCCTTGCTAAATTTTTCTGCTACACCCAAAGGACTATTTCTGCTTCATAGCACAGGTGCCATGAATGACTGTGTGAACTTTATGTTCAGCAGTTTATCAAAAAAACTCCAGGTAAGCATTAGAGGATCTGTACAGTTTTTCTTTCTTTTAATGATTATAATAAAGGAGAAAGAAAATAATAGGAAAATAAATCCAGAAACCATTTTTTCATTTTTTTTTTGCAAAAATTAATTTAAAGTGTAGCTTATGATCTTTGGTATTGGTGCCATGCTGATTTAAGTTTGTTGGATGTTACTTATCTTCAGAACATCTGCTATATATTTAGTTTTTCTGACTTTACGGTAAAAAGTTTGAAATTCTAAGCAAAATAGTTTTTCATTTTTTTCTTCTAGACCAAGTTACTAAGTGGTGTTGAAATCTAGATATGCTAGATGATACTTGAAATGTAACCAAAAATAGGATCATATGCATTTTAGGAGGAAAAGCATAATCTTATAGACATCTTACTGAATGTGTGCAAAAAACATTATAATACTAATTCTTTATTTGCTGATGTAGCACGTCTTAAGCATAGTATTTTGCATTTAAATTTTGATAAGATACTTGATAAAGATGTTTGGTTTGGAATCTGACCCTGGTACATCTATGAACTGTTCAAGTCTAACCACACAGTGGATTAAATTCTGTAAACAAGTGTAGGAAAGATCAATATTTAAGAGATCATTTGAGAGTTTCATGCCCTCTGAATAACTAACACTGTGCTTTTATATTTGTTACTAACAGACAAATGAGTATGAAGAGTTTGGTAATAGAGTGATTGTTACACAAATGGCAACAACACCAACAGGTGCAGTAGCTCTACAGCGTTCAGGTAAATTGAAGAATGATGCTGTTATGAATACTTACATGCTGTAGTCTTGCATATTAGAAAAGGACGGTGAGAAAGATGTTAAAAAAGATCAGCTGAGTGGAATGATTATGCAGTATTAACAAAGACTGCTTCAATGTCTATTGATTTCTTCTTGATGGAAATTTATTCTTTCCAACTCTTAAGTCATTCACTTTTCTTGATGCAGGATTTTTTTTCCCTTACATTATGCAAAAATCTTTGCTTCATTGGCTTGGTTTTCCAGAAGGTTCCTGTACGTGCACAAAGATATTTATATCTGTTAAAAAATAAGTTGCTCACAATTTGCAAGTTCTTCTTAGTGATCTGCAGATCAGAAATAATAACTGTTGATTACTGTAATTTGTATGTACTTTTCCATGGCTACTGACTGCTCCAAGAGTGAGAAACTGCAAAGGCTTGAGTGTCATTGGCACTCTTATACAATAGTGAGATGGAATTGAGATTGTCTGAATTGGTGATTTTTCTCATATGTCAACCCATACCACAAAGTCCCTTCACATTCATTCTCAGATAACTGAACTGTTGCCATACCACCCAGAAGTCTAGGTAGTCATTTTGTTAAAACTAGAATCTTACCAATAAAGTAAAACTACCATCTTAAGTTGCTAAGGAAGTCCACGAGGTACAAAAGTTACAAATATTCTTTCTGAATATCTAGAGGTGGCTAGTGTGGAATAAAAATGACTTGACTGAAAGACTGTCAGAAAGGCAGGCAAATTCTGCCAGTCAAGGAAACTGATTGTTAGTTGCTTATTTATGCCTCTGGGATCTTTCAGAAAGCAGGGAGCAGATCTATATGGGGAGTAACCCATATGTCCTGTTTAAGGTTTGCAGCCATAAGTTCGCTTCTTATGGCCCTTGGCGTTAAAGTCATATGGTAGATCAAAAATAATTAGCATTGATTTTTCAACCCTGAGAGGCAGTAGTGTGATGTATGTGAAGTTTGTATTTAGCCTGTAACTTACATTTGGAGATTTCAGAGTTAGATGGCTATCTCTTCCGTTTTAATATTTAACATTTCAAATTCAACTAGTAGTGCTTGTCTTAAAAAGATTTTTTTTTTCCGTTCTTAACTTTTCATTGTGGTATGTTTTAATTTATTAATGAATCTGTATTTTTAAAACCACAGAGCCAGTACTAGCTAATCCTTGATCTGTAGCAGATAACTTGTTAAAGAAGGTCAGCATCTCATTTACATGAAAGATAAATGTCATCCTTCTTTAGTATAATAGTCTTTGAAAACTGTTGCTGTAGATTTAGGGTGGAATATAAGCAGACCACTGTAGAAAGGTAGTTTGACTAAAGGATTGAGAACAACAGGGAGAGTAACCTTCAGTCTGTCTTGTAAAATTTTAGTCCACAATGTAGAGAATTTTGAGAATCTGAGTTGGAATCTGACCCTGAGTTGGAATTGTGGTGAAAATACTTTAAAATATGAAAATTGTTTTTTTGGTATTCATGCCATTTTCATGATTAGAACATAAATTTGTTTTAGGCTTTATAAAGGCACTTGTAACTGAATTATGGTCTCTTTTGGAATGTGGAAAAGATGATTTAAGGATAACCCAACCCAAATCTACTCCAGTTGACCCTATTGACCAAAGCTGTCAGAAGGTGAGAAATTATTTAATATTCTGTATTGGCATGGAAAAAACAGTGCTGTATTTCGGATAGGATGACACATACCTTTCTGTAAATTTTCATTGTGTCTATACCTGCTTCTTGGCACGTGGGGGAAAAATTAATATAATAGTGAAATTATGACTGATTGAAAGGATTCTTGTGTTGCATGGCAGGTCACAAAGCCAAGGATCCATTAAAGTCAATATAAAATAATAAATAACAACCGTGACAAAAGTGAAAGTCTTAAAATACTGGCCATCAGTTCATGTCTCTGATTACTGTATTAAGATCAGCGAGAGTAACGTGTTTTAGAGTATGCTGTGTCTCTAGATTTTAGAATTACATGATAATACAAATATTATAATTTTCAAAATTCCTTGTACAATTTAATAGATAATACATATTTTTCAGATACTATTGCCCTTTTATATAGACACCTGCCAGAATTTGTAGTCTTATTTTGGGCGGCTCTATTCATGCCAGCCTACAAAGAAGGATAAAAACAAACTTAAATGGCAAATGATTGTTAATGTTTCCTTGGTTATACTTAACTGATTAACATTCCCTTTTGTCCTCCCTTTTTTCTTTCTTTAGTCTTTTCTGTCTCTGATAAACTTGCTCACTTACCCTGCAGTTTTTGAGTTCCTGAGTAAACAAGATATACCAAATAAACCAATGTATTCATTCCGCGAAGTACCTACAGATATTATTGTAAGTATAGTTTTTTTATTTGGAAAGAAAAATTAATACTTCTGTGAAGATATTTTTCCTAGGAAAAATGTTACTGTAATTATAGAGTAAGTTTTCTCTTCTTACTGATAAGATTTCATCTTTTTCTGCATTTTGTATTATATACAGCATGAGGGCAGTATATGCACATATCACTTCATGTTAACCTAAATTTTCATTTTGAAATCCTAAAGATAATATAAAATTTGGTGCCTAATAGGAAGATCATCTTTCCTGGCTTGTGTTAGAATTATGTTTTTCCATGGAAAAAAAAAAAGACGTACATAAACAACTCTGTGCATGCAGTTACATGTTGGTAAATATCTATACTTGTATTTTTATAAAATATTTCTTTTTCACACTATCTGTGAATTTAAACAAAAATTTAAAGAAAACCAAACAACAAACTAAAAATCAAAAACCTTCAGGCTTTCTTAATAGCACAGATGATTCACACACAGAAAAAAATCACTAATTGGAAAGTTACTGATTAAGGCATATTTCAGTCCTAAGAAAAACAGTATTGCTATTTCTGTATTTAGTATTATTTCGTATTAGTTCATCCAACTGCAGTCTATCAGTTTTTTTTTTCTCGTCTACAAAGCACAGGCAAATTTAATCTGTGACCTTGAGTGGCACTTAAAATCAGATTTTTTTTTTTTCTAATGAGGTAGCACTTTGGTTGCTGTTGTGTTAAAGTGTTTGTTTAGCACAGGCTCTGAATTGGTGGTAGTTTAAGTTGTTTAGACAGAGTATATCATAATAGTACATGTTACGTTTTGAAGGGATTTTTGTAGTTCTTCATTTGTAATACTGTTTTGATGATTTCAGGAGGAAATGGGATGATAAACTTCGTTTTTCATTCCATTCAGTGTTGGTGTGTCCACTGATGGATAGTTCTGTTCAGTCGTGAAGTTTTGAGGCGCTGGGAGCAGGGGAGGTAGATGTATGTTGAAGGTGATACATATTTGAGAGCTTTCAGATTGAGGTAGATCTTAAGCAATGATTTGTGTGACTTTTGAAAGCTTATGTTGTTTTAGCTTTTGAGGCACTACACCATTTTGATGGAATTCTCTAGGTTCCAGAAATAGCAATACTGATAAAATTGTTCAAAGTTCCCTGAAGAGTTACAGATGTTTTGGGTGGGATTTGTCTCACTTAACTGCTGTGCAACAGTGCGTTTTGTAAGCCTAAACTAGACATCCAAGATTATGTAGTTAACAGAAGGGAAATGGTTTATCTAACGTTGATGTAACATACAATGTTTAAGTCTAAGTACTCAGAAAAATTCTGGGGTTAAGTAGACATACAGATTTGTTATAACCATGTTTTTGGGCAGTGATTGCAGAAAGGTAAAGATAAAAGATTTGACCAGATGTAACGATGGTTGGTTAGAAAGCTAAGTAAAAGCAGTTTCGGTGCCACTAGAAGATTTGGTTAGAAGACCTAATTGCTTTGTGTGCTTCATTTTTCTGTATTTCTGAATCGTGTCACATTGCCACAGAATCTGTAATTTTTCTGCAATTTGTAATATTTATGCTGAACAATATTTGATAATGCACAGAACTTAATTACCTTTCTATGCCCTTTATTTCTTAAATACATGCAATTTAAACATTTTCCTTCCTTTGTATTTTTGGATAACTGGTTGCATCATTGACTGAACAGATTATCAATTGGGCTTTTGCTGCTTTTGTCTGTTGACTAATCTGGTTCTTATTCTGTGCCCTTAGAAAATTTTTCTTAATACATGCCAGATTTTTTTTTTACTCTGTTTGCCATATAAAAGTATTTTAGAAAACTGAGCAGATGAATCAGGGTCCTTCTGCCTGCCTCCACTCTTCCTTTGAGAGGTTCTATAGTACACATATGCAAGGGAATTTAACTTGGAAAGTACCCTGCAGATCTGTAGCTTTGAAAGACATGTTAAAGCAGGTGAAATTGCTTTTTTTTTTTCTTCTTTTCTTTTCAGTGATTATGGAGTGTCTTATATTTAGATGGTGTATCTTAGGTATTCAAAGTAGATGACATCCTACCTGTAATAATTAAGCTATGCTCTGTAGTTGAGCAGTGCAGATCTATCTGCACATTTTTCTGATTGGATCTTGTGTTGGACCTTATTCATGATCTTCCTTCCTAGTATCCCAAATCAGAGCTTGGTCTGCTTTCTCAACAGTCCTCTCTCTCTCTGTGCCTGCTCTTTCTACTCTTTTGCAGGCTCCAAGCTTTGATGTATAGATGAGAGGAGGAGGTTGTTGCCAGAGAAACATCCCTTGGTGTTTAATTCTTTATATGTGCGAATATCTAAAAAGCCTTAAACCCTAAACAAATCAATTGCTTGCATTAGCGATTTTATGAACAGCCTTGAGGTCCGAGTTGAATTGTTTTATTGTGAATTTTGTTGTGAACATAGTATGTAGAAAAAATGCATTCTTCGCAGCCCTCTCCCCTGCCACTCAAAAAAATATAATAGGGAAAATATGGTTTCACCGTATTTTAAGTAAGAATGTGTTTTATGAAGACAGTTTACTTTGCGTTCTAGATTTTTTTTCCTGCTACTGAGAGTTTTACTTGTGGTGTTTACTTTTCTTTCTGTTGAAAACCAGAGCTTTGGTTGATTTCATGAAAGTATGGATCCTAATTTTTCTCTCATATCATATCAAAATGACTCATTGATCTAACCAGCTGAATAACAGCTCCCTCTGCTGTCTCTGAGACTATACTTCTTAAATGTGGGGGAAATAAAAGTTTGGATTTAATCCAGATTAAATAAAGCCTATAAGGATTTAGTAGTTTGTTGCTGTGCTATGGTCAGAAGAAATCTGTCTCTGAGATGGTAACATCAGTGAATGTTTTTATGCGTTTTGTAGTCTTTTAATGAAATTATTTCTTCAGAAGCATTTTGGATATCCAGTGAAGTAGAGGGGAAGATAATTAGGTTGGATTTCTGGAAGAAGTGGGAAGCAGCCACAGGTCATTGTCTATTACATGAGATGCTTTAGGATGAAAGATGTGAGCCTCAACATTGAAGCCAAGCCTTGCTACACTGAGAATAAATGGCTGTGTTTTTGAAGCATGTAGTACTAACCAGTGTTAGAAAGAGTATTATACTAAAGCATTTGCTGTTCGTTTCATTAAAATAGATGTATACACATTTCAAACATACAAAAAACAGTTTAACATTTCTTTTGTGGTTTAATACTAAATAAGAACTAGGATACTTGACATGTTAGGATCTTTTTGTATGTTTAGTGATTTTTTAAAATTTTTTTTTAAACTGAGATTATTTTTTTTTTCCCCTAGCCTTCTGTATGGCTTCTTGTTGCCATTGACTTCTGTGGTGGAAAGCACCTCTTCTTAGAGAAACAATTTTAGTGTGTGTTTTAGTAATAGGCTTCTTTTTATAGTAAACATCCCTATGTAACTATTATGTGCCTGAAATATTAAAACATACGTGAGTTTTTTATGTTTGTCTTCCTTTGGCAGGATATCATTGACAGGCTTATAATTTTGAATTCAGAAGCTAAAATTCATTCCTTATTCAGTTATGAACAATCACATATCTTTGGTCTGAGGTAAGATGCTCATTTTTTATTCTCTGGTCACATTAAGTAAATGGGATATAACATGCTTGAATGTGTTGCTTCTAATAAGATAACATTGTTTGGTTTTTATTATGCATGAAGGTGAAATTCCCTCTTTTTTTAACATAAGAAGATTAAATGAAAAATGGCCTACAAAATGAAAATAGCAATGAATCTAATCTTATTACCTGTAAATGGATATATTGTAATATGGTAAGCAGTAATAGAAATTGCATGTTGTTATTTTGCCTCATTGATTGAGAAGAACATGTGGCACATCCATTGCAGTGCATAAAACCATACCAAAATACTAAAGTAAACCAAACTGATAAGAACATGGTAAAAAGTACTTTGTTTATCTAGTATCCCTGTATTTAAAATTATTCTTTTTAATGTATTGCTTTAATTACCACCAATTTCACCAAAACTTATTTTGAGAAGAGTACCATTTGATCCCAAATATTTCTACAACCTGAAGGAACACTTAAAATATGCTCACACTGTCATGCTCATGTTTTTTAATATTAAGTTCTTTCTAGTATTTCAACATGGAAATTAGTTTCTGCATTTTTTTCCTGTTTTCCAAAGTTGAATATAGAAATCCTTGAATTCACACTTTTGTTATGAACATATTTTGTGCAATTGAAATAAAAGATCTGCTGTATTGTACTTCATAGTATGGAAAACTTTGATAGCCTTGCTTGGGCAAGACATAGCCCATTGATTAAGTACTGCAGAGTTAGCTTTCTGCAGCTGTATTTGTACTTTGATATCAGAGTAAAATTATTTCATACTATGTATGAATAACCATAAGGTACAGTATAATTTGCTGATAAGGATGAGCGTGGAGGAGATGAACAGTGGCAGAATTTGGACTTGCTGCAGCGCGGGCTTCCCACCGGGTCACAGTCTCCGTCAGGCATTCACTTGCTCCAGTGTGGGGTCCTCCACGGGCTGCAGGTGGAAATCTGCTCCACCATGGACCTCCATGGGCTGCAGGGTGATAGCCTGCCTCACCATGGTCTTCACCACAGGCTGCAGGGGAGCACCTCCTCCCCCTCCTTCTGCACTGACCTTGGCGTCTGCACAGTTGTTCCTCTCGCATCTTCTCACTCCTCTCCCTGGCTGCAATTGCTCTTGGTGTTGCACAGGGTTTTTCCCCCTTCTTAACTCTGTTACCCCTGAGGTGCTACCACTGTGACTGATGGGCTTGGCCTTGGCCAGTGGCAGGGCCGCCTTTGGGCCGGGCGGGGCTTGGTCTACTTCTCATAGAAGCCACCCCTGTAGCCCCCCGCTACAAAACCTTGCCATGCAAACACAATAGAATTGTGTTCTGTCTTTATAAGGTAAAAGAACAGATTTCTTCTACAATGATTTTAGGAACCCTTGTAAGGTGCAGGCAAAAATCATTTATTCAATCTGATTGTGTAAGCAGTTGGCTCCCATGGTGTAAGACAGAGACTGGTACACAGATACATAGATCATGTTTTGAAGTTGTGTTGAATGCTTACAGTATTTTTAACAAGGCCTATACCCTATGAAGCAACAGAACTACTCATAAGGACACATATGAGCAATGTAACAAGCTCATCTGTAATCACATAAAAGAAACTATTGTTACATGAGCTTCAGAGTTCACTGTGGTAATGACATTTTGTGCTGGACACTGACGGAGTAAAAAAACAAGTGAAAATTCAGTCAAAATGTCAGATTTCAAGAAAAGATTTAGTAGTATTTTCAGTGAGGAAACCTACTCATAAAAGTGGTAGATACCTTAATAATTAAGTAGTAATCAGATATTGAAAATTATATTTGTTTTTTAAAAATTTCCTTTAGATGCTTTGTGTTTTACAGGTACTTCTGGAATCTCAGTGATACCTAGGATCTCATATTTAGCTTTAATTTTTAACAGAGTCAGTCTTTTTTTTTTATTGTTCAAAAGTCCTGTTCCATTCCCCACTTTATTTTATTCCCTTTGCTATAAAAGAAAGGCAGATACAATTCTAGGGATTTTCATATCTGGCTGTGTACACCACAGATAATGTAAGACTGTGTTTTCTTATTGTTTAAATGTCTTTTCATGAGCATGTGGGGCTTGCTGTACAATTGTTTTTTGCAGATAATAGCAAATTGGCACATATAAGCCTTTTATTATGACTAATTTGACTGCCTGCACAAAGAGAATTTTTATTATTGCATAGTTATTCAAAGTTCCCTATTAAAATGATACCAGAATTCTGGATGATTTTGAAATTTGTCATGCTTACTGTATTATTTTCAGTATTAAGGCTTGTAAGAAACCCTAGGCTGTATTATCTGAATATGAGAGTTATAGAGTTCATTTTATATACCTTTTGAAACCAAGTTCCATGAGCTTTTCTGTGAGTGCTGCTGATTGCAGACATCTGTGTTCTGTAAAGCAAACCTTGCCTTGTGTGGTCGGTTTGCTCCTTGAAGAAATTCCACCAAGAATACCAAATTCAGCAGCAGTTAGATTGAATAATATCAAATGCTTAACAGATCTGAAAATTTAGAAAGTTAATGAGAAAGAGCAAAAGAGCTGCATTTCTCTTTCCTGCTATGTAGAAATAAAATATGTAAATGTGTATGATAACCGTAACATTGAAAAAACAAGTAGTTGTGTGACCAAATGATTTTGGTGAAACAGTTGTCTAGAAACATTTATTTCTACTAGACTTAATACCAGTGGTACAGCCAAACCCACATTCTTTAATCATTCACAGATCTACACAGCCATATGCTTTGTTATTTGGTCAGCTATCACTGTGCGTATCACTCACCTGGAGCCACATTATTATTAAAGGAAAACTTTAGGCAAGAAGTTGGAGATGAGAATAGAAAAGTGGAAGTAAATAAATGGTTCCTAGCTTGTGTATAGAAAGATCTTCAAACTGTCAGTTCAACTTTTAACTTCAAAGCAGATTTGTACTTATTTAGAAGCAGGAAGTGTATCAATCAGCCAGTGCTGGTTGATAAAAGAACACTGAAGGCTGTCTCAGCCACTTTTTTGTACAGCTTGAAAATCTGGGTGCACAGGAACTGATGCACAAATTCTCAATAGTCTTTCTATTTTAGAAGATTATGAATTTAAATTGCCATCAGAGCACAAATCATAGAGAAAGGGAATTCACAACAGTAATCAAATAAATTTATAACATACTAAGCACAGAGAATTTTCTTAATGAACAGCTTTATTTCTCTCATACACACGTACCCATTGATCTGATCTTATAAGTTATTGGATGTGAGAGAGACCAATTTTCATAAAGGTGTGACACTGGAGATCTTAACCACCTCCCTTTCAAGGCCAAGCTCTTTCAATCTCTGTAACTTACTTTAACAAAGGAATTAAGTCAACAGCGGTAACATATTTTTTCTTTCAGACCAATGAATTATATGGCATCAAGGCAACTTACCTAGTATTTCAGTACAGTGAATGTCACATCCACGAGTTGTGAGTTTTTACAGCCTGCCAAGAAAACATATGCATAATATATATTTTTTCAAAGCCTCTGCCTAAAGCATTATTCAGGCATTTACATATTGCTGTTCTGTCTATTCAGAACCTGAGTTTTCTGTGAATATTAGTGAAACTTTCTTGTTAGCTGGATTAAAGTGTGACAAAATACCAAAGTTTTACCTTGATAACCAACCCCTTGTCCCTAAAAAGTATCAATGATCCAAAATAAATTCAAAAATAGTCAGTGTTGGCTTGCATAAAAAAACAGAAGGAGAAATGGTTGCTGGGAATAGGCATAGACTGTGGACAGTGGAAGGCATTCAGAGTTGGTTTACAGGCAGCTTTGCAAAAATTCCCCTCATTTAACAGAGTACACTTATATACTGTTCCTGGAAAAATGTTGGTGGTTTTTTGTTTTTTTTTAATATATCATATTATGGTAGTAATAGGCATCTGAATACTTTAAAGAGGAAAAAAACCCAAAACACTTTCTTTGGTTAGCTTACATACATATGCCACTATGGAATTATTTTTTTTTCCCTTTCCCCCACCCCCAGTGGCTTATTTTGGACATAAGTCAATAAAACTCCTAAATATTGTGAGGCAAAAAATCTTTTGTATGTACATTCCAAATCAAATCAAATAACAAAGATTCTTTGTTAGCCCCACGCTTGTTCACTAGCCTCATGATAGTGGGCATCAAGCAACAAGGACAGCCCTCTGAGAGTTTGGCTTTCTGCAGGAAAATACCTGGAATACTGAGAGTAAAATACTCCTTCATGTATGCAAATTGGGACTGTTTAATTTTAAAGACAGAATGTCCTTGCTTAGCACTAGAGATATCTGAAGATACCCTGTTTTGTAGAATTGTAATTTGAACTGCAATGAAAAACAGATATTTTTTTTTTTAGATCTGTGTAAGGTAAGGCCGAAAAAGGAGTATTTATTATAGCGTGTGAATTTTCTATATGCACTTATGTTTCTGTGGAATTACAGAAAATTGTAAATACTAGTTGAAGTCACGTGTTCATCAATATTAGCCTCAGTATTGTGGAACTACAGAGCCTGCTGCAGATAGAAAAAGAATATTGGCTTGTTATTTTCAGGTTTCTATAATAAATACTTTGACATTAAGTCACATTTTTTGTCATATGAAATATCATGGTGAGTATGTGTTTTTTTTCTTATAATACTTATTATTGGTGCAGAAGATAATAAAAATGCATCGTATCTATTTCTGTTGGCCTGGAAAACTAGTAAGAAAAAGATTTTGGAAAGAGAATTTAAATGGCTTATACTATATTGACATCTAAATCAGTGTATTGAAATTTACCTCAAAGTAGCATGTATTAATCAAAATTTCACCTAGTGTACTCCACTAAAATCCAGGTGAATGAATTCAATCCTACAGGAGCTGGGAGATGAACAAACATGTGACAGGCAGGAGACAACTTTGTGGGTTTAGGAAATACAGATAATAAACACCTGTGCATTCTTTCCCATTGTGTTT